TTTCTTTTCAGTAAGTTGGAAATAATTATCTCCTTTACCTGATCTGCTGTCCAGATCCCTATGTGAAAATCCAGCTATTGCAGGGAGGAAAGCGTCTTAAGAAAAAGAAGACAACTGTGAAGAAGAACACCCTGAATCCATATTACAATGAATCATTCAGCTTTGAAATCCCACTGGAACAGATGCAGGTATAGTTAAACTCAAATATAATATTCTGAATTCATTGAGATACATGTTCTAAAATATATATATTCAATTTCAATTATGTGTTGGCTTCAAGTGAAACATTTGTATTTAGTTCTTTTAATCTAGCTTAACTGTTATGTTATTCACAACAGAGTTTTTGAGTTATTTTTCTTAACTAAAGAGGCTTTTAGATTGTAGTGTCCAAAGTGCCAGGAAACTTCTTTTGATACACAAGCAATATCATATTCAAAAGTCATAAACTGGTTATTAAAGAAAATTGGCCTTCAGCAAGAACAGTTTTATTTCTAAAAGTTTGACTTTGTTCAGTCCAGAGCAAGGCTTATATGCAATGTCTGTCCGAGTGGCAATCTAAATGGATATAAACATTTATAAAGGGGGTCATTATGTATTTTCCAAGTACATGGTGTCATTTTATAGGAAGCTCAAGAAACTATGTTATCTTTAGTTTTTATAAAAATGTTGAATGTTAAAAACAACTTAGAAGATATTTAACTTCACATCATAATCATATCAGTCACCTTGAAATTGGCCTCTGTCTCCTCAAGAACTTCCTGCCCTTTCCAATTCTCCCCATCGTTACAACAAAGCTTCTTCATGTCCTCCCCTTATGGTGTTTACAACCAGTCTTGGCAGTTTTGTAACTTGATAAGCTCAGTAGGTGTGCAGTTCCACCAGGTGTTTGCTAATTGCAGCTTGTCTGGTGGATCAGTATGTAGGAGGCAAAGGGGCTCTGTGGGGATGGAGGTCGGTTGGGGGCTAAAGCACCAAGGCAGAGCTTTGGTTAAATAGGCACTTAGATCAACCCCAAATGGAAGGCATGGAAGGTTCAAGCATTTCTCAAATTATATTATTACATTTTAATGTGATATAATGCTAAAAAAAAAAAAGTACATTTTGCATAATAGTCCCTCTTTAAGTAATCTGGAGTACTCCTTTGAGCTGCAAAATATATAACTAAGAAACACTCAGCCTCAATGCTAAAAGTAAAACAAATAATTAAGTTCAACTACTGTTAAACACATTTTTGTTTCTTCTTTCCCTTCATTCTCAGAAAATCTTGGTGGTTATCACAGTGTTTGATTATGACAAGATAGGTAAGAACGATGCCATTGGGAAGATCTTTGTTGGGAGCAAGGCTACCGGCTTGGGTCTTAAGCACTGGTCAGACATGCTGGCTAATCCACGCCGCCCCATCGCCCAATGGCACCCATTGCAGCCAGAGGAGGATATTGATGGTCAGCTTGCAGCGCTGGCAGCAAAGAAGTAACAAGCCTCATCAACCAGCTATTGCTCTTACTCAGAAAATCATCCCTTCTTTGCATGAATCCTATGACTTATCAAATGGCTACTTGTCATAAATCTTGCTCAGAAAAAAAGAAACATCTTAGGATAACGTCGTATACACAGTTAAGTTGATGGAAACTCTTTTCAAGCATCTAATCTCAGTTTGTGCCAGGAAAATAGTTATGAGTTATTGGGTCAGTAGTTCATGAATGATCAGTTTTTGGTCTTTTTTGATCTAAAGAAGCTGATTTACAGGGTGCTGAAAATGTGTGAAAATAATGTTAAAGACAATGCTGGATAAAAAGCTTTAGTTTAGTTTATGGAGCATGCTTTCCTTACCTCCCCTCTGCTCTGCGCACAGCATACCTAGTATTGTATGTTGCTTATAAGTGTGCTATGCCCTGCATTATTAGAAAGTGTGATAGTGTGGAGCAAAGGGCTGGTTTGCATCCATTATCATTAGTAGATTTATTTAGAATGAATCTGGTTGAGGTCACTGAGTACAGCAACTAGTGCTGCAGTTTCTTTTTGAGATTTTTATGTCAACATTTAATGCCCAAGGAATTTCACCACTCTTAGCAAGAATGACAAGAGAATTGACATTTTTTGCTTGTTTGTTTTGACATGAAGACACATCTATGCATTTAGGATAAACACACAGATGGCAGATCAGATGCAGAATGGGAATATGAGTGTGCCTTCCTGATGAATAAATGTTGAGACATGCGTTGTTTATGTCCTAGAGGCTGAGCCTTATTGAAAAGTTTTGAAGGCGCCATCTGCATTAGGGCTTTAGCTGTGCCGACAATATAGGTATAAAAAATTAGTATTTATTACAGAAGTACAGACACTAGAGAGATTATCACTTATACTCAAATACATTTGGCTTATTTTCAAATGCTGCTTTTGCAAACTTGTTTCATTTTGTCTTCCTTTTTTTGTCTTTGGTTGATGTGTTTTTCATAGAGAAGGGGATTAGAAACATAAAATGTAGCCTCTTTTTTAAATGAATGTGAATTTGTGTGTAAAATTCAACTTTGTAGACTATTAACATGGTAACTGCTGCATCATACAGTGCACATATCTTTGTCGTAAACCAAAAGGAGCTGCAGATTTTAGCATTCCTCATGCTTCACAGCAAATTAAGATGGTCCATCCAAATCTTCATTAACAGTTTATCATAGAGAAGCTAAAGTTTGTGTTAATCTACAAAGGATTGACTCTCCTGACAAAGTACTTCTAATTGTGTGTATTAATCCCTACAAAAACAAATTTTGAAATTTTAAAAATAGTAAATGTTTAATAATAAACTGTTTTACATCACAAAATTTAATAGGTCCAATATCCTCATTTCCTTCACAGCAGAAAATTTGAAGTTGTGCAGTATTAAAAGTATTCTCCTTCAAACAACTGTCTGATATAAATATTTAGAGAGCTGGATAAATGCATCAGAAAAATAGTATATGTTTAGACATAGTAGTTTAATGATTTTAATATTCAATTCCAAAAACACAGTAGGAGAGTTCAGTTGATTTGAACAGTTCATTTAGAATAATTTTGTTTTTATTTTTGATTTATTTAAAATAATATTGCAGAGTGCAATTGAGTCCATCCCCAGTGCTTCCATCTGCTGCAGAAATTCTGCATTGTACCCCGCTGTTAATAGTCTACAGCATGTAATTACAAGATGATGTAAATATTAGCATGTTTTAAAGAGAATCTATAACTATGATGTGTATGTGTGTGTTTGTGTTCAGTGTACTTTTTGATAATAAAATGGAGTAAAAACAACTGTATGCACTGACTGAAAAGTGTATGTATTTTTTTCTCACTGGGACTGAGTGTGTGATTGAATAATCTGATTTATTAGGTTAACAGTGTGTTTGTTTTGTGTAATAATTGTTCAAACTCCCAAAGTTTAAAAATAGATACTGCATGAATGTGTTTGATTTTCATTGTTTCATGTGTGTTAAGATATAATCTGACTGAAAATCAGTTAATGTTCATTTCTAATAGCACTGTGTGTTTGTCACTAAGCAGTAGACTGTATATATTTTAAACCCCTTTGCCCCTGTGTACACCTAAGTGTTTTCATTGTTCATTCCTGCCAAATGAAAGTCAGACAAAAAAAAAGTCTTGTTACTCCTTATCCCACATTAATCTACCTAACCTTCTGTTTTTGTGTTTGAATATTACATAACATTATTCATTTTGTATTCCTAATACAATGTTTGGTTCTGTTAAAGATTATTACATCATATTGGGCTGGCTGTTCTCTTGCTCAGCATGAGTCTTCTCATTTCAAATACCACTCTCTGAATGAAAAGTCTGTTTTCTAAAGGTTTGCAATGAGAAGCGATTGTGTTGTTCCACTTTTGCATGCTTTGATTTGTGTCTCTCCAATTGTTTTCTGTTTTGCTTTTTTTCAAAATTCACTACAGTCTTAGTAATTGAGATATATTTTTAATAACAATTAGACTATCTCTATTCATCTGAGAAACAAAGAGAATGATAAAATATTAATTTGTAAGTTGCTTCTTTGTGAAGAGACAGCTCATTAGAGGCATCTCTAATATGTGTCAACCCTTTTTCTTTCATTTTATCTTGCATTTCTTAATATCAAAATTGTGTAATTAGGTTCCATTGCTCAAAATGCAGACACTGAAATGCAGACAACAAAATCCCATGTCTTCCTGGGCCTCTCAAGCACAGAGCAGGCCCAAACTTTGCAAAATCAACATTCAAAATGCAATACTGCCAACATTCTTTTCAGATTCTACCATCTTCTGTCAGCATAATATCCAACACAGACTTACTATCAAGCATAGACAAGGGGAATGCTTGTCTCTCTCCACTCTTGCTTTGGTCTACTGTAGAAGAGTATTAATAGATGTGCCTTTTTGTGACATGCATGATTTTGTTTAATTGAAAGTCATTTTTGCAGTAAAAGAAAGTCTAAAAGAAATGCGTAAAAATGAATCAACTCAAGTAGATAATAAAACTCAAGGAAGAAAGGACATACCTGTGTGTTGTCAAACTGTAATCACAGCAAATAAAAACGTTTTGTGTATCAGCGTCTTGTGTGGTATGGAGATACATATCAAGAGTGCATTTCAACTCATGGTCAGTAGGTGACAGTGTTGAATAGTTTATCTTTCGCGAACTCAAAGCAGGCAAGCAGCACTTACTGACAAAACAGCCAGTAGATCTCACATTTTTACTACAATGAGGAATTAGCAGTAATCAGAGTTTAGGTTGATTAAAAAATATATCACAGAGTCCCTGTGTAGAATAGTGATTAAAAGAAATGCAGATGCAAATTATTTCAATTGCATTTAAATCCACAGTCCCAAATCAAAGATGATACAAAAGAATATAACTTGTCCATTTCCAGCAGCCCTTTATTTTAAAGAATTGACATTTCATATAAAATACTACCCATAATATGTTAATTTGCACAAATAGCTCAGATACAAAAACATGTGCTTTACAAAATCAGAACAACAGCCTTTCGTAGATGCATTTTATTAATATTTCACACAACAAAAAAGTACAAGAAACCTTACGTTTAGAGAAAATCGGCATAACCACAGTCCTTTCATATGTTACTTCAGAGGTCAGTTTATTCCTTTACTGGACTTAAAAATAGCTTTTTATGTGTCCCCCCTTTCTCTCCCCTGCCTGCTTCCTGTTTTACTTGGAGAGTTTAGTAATGACACGGATTAAAGCCCCATTCTCATCCTTCAGCCTTTGGTTTTCTTGCTTCAGCTCAGCTTTCACCTGAAGACAAAAAGCACAGAAAAGCCTAAACAAGCATAAAGTTCAGATTTAAGCTAATTGGAAGACTGGTTACATTTCCAGAGTGTCTTCGCTAATGACTGCTGAAGACTGGAACCAGCTCTCTCCATGACCCTGCAAGGTTAAGTGGGTCTACTTGATGGATGAGTATTTGCAGTCGCTATAATGAGGTTTATGTGAAGATAGCTTTGTACAGTGGTCTTCACACATAACATATTTGAGCTTCTTTAAATGAACTAGAGTTTGCTTCCTCTATTGGTCTGGACCTTTCATGCAGGTTTGAATACACTCAAGTGAACCCTCGTGTGGAGCAAATGACCTAAGACTCACTTTTGCTAAAACCAAACTTGGTTTTAGCAAGTGATACCAGCTAAAACCATCAGACTGATTCAAACCAACTACAGGAAATAAACATCTATTTGAACCTCATGAGTCACAACTCCTTAGCATTATAGTTAAAATGAGTCCTTCAGTATTGCTCATGCTGCTTCTGCATGTACTGAAATTGTAACTAATTTGTTGTTTTCTGCTTAGCAATGCTGCTTTCAGCATGTTGTGGGTAAGGAGGTGCAGAGCATCTGGTCTCATTCAGCTTGCAGCAGTATTTGCTGATGCCATTCCAAAGTTAGAAAATCACATTGTGGAACCTTAGTTGTATGAGCTGCTCTTGACATTCAAAACAGTATTATATTTTCAACAACAGCACAAATATGCACAACAGAAATGCAGCACAAAGCACTTCCAAAGTTTATTTTTTGGGGGGGCTGTGCTTTGTCCTGCCCTCTATCCTTTCTGTCCAATGGGAGTAGTGATCATCACACACATGGTTTTACTTACAAAGTAAACTCTATTTACAGACAAAAACACAATGTGAAATGAACAGCACAAAACAAAAAAAGTCAATTTTTGGTGAGCACCAAACAAGTGGACCAAAAGACTTCTGTGAATAAACCCTAAATTACTTTTTTAAGCAGTTTCATCAAAACTAACTTTTGGTGGCTTTAATGATGACTAAAAAAAGTTGGTCCTCCAATTTAGTATTCTTGATTTAGTTAAACTCCACATACACATAATCAATCAATAGTTTTTATTGCTTAAATTAATTTAAAAATAAATGCATGTTAAGTGAAATCATACAATAGTTAATAGTCACTATAGTTAACATATCAATATCTATGACTCAACACCCAATGGAATTATATAATTATCACAATGCCACAAACTTAATTTCTGAAATGTAGTTTTGTTCCTGTCTCTATTCAGTCAAAGCTGGTCAAATCTAGTCAGTCAAACAATCATCCATGTACACACATAAACACACACCAATCCACACTCACATTATCTTTTGTGTCAGGGTTTATTTTCAGACTAGTATCCGATGTTTGTTAAGGCAATTTATTGACAGAAAACAAAAAACTCTTGTTGGAATCTTCTTGGGCAGCACAGAGCAGACTATTGTCATTTGACAGTGAACAATTGCTGTTCACTGTGGCTGTGGTGTTGATGTACTCACAGCTTTCAAAGCCAACAACAGAATGGTGACAAGTGATACCAGCTAAAACCATCAGCAACACAATGTCTCACAAACATTCACACAGTTTGTGTGTGCTTAATAACACTCAGGGTAGGAATATTAACACGCTCATCAAAACGTATAAATATTCGCTTTCAGTCAATCATTTGAATTTCTTTCTTAGACCACAACCCACTTCCTCTCTTCCTCTGCTATTATTATTATCGGGACAGTTCTGATTACAGATGCTCTCAGTGAATAAAAATTACCTTTAATTGTTCTTCCATATCTAATATCCTCTTTTTAAGGGTCCAACTTTCCTGTAATGATAATTTATTAAACATGAATAGAGCAGTTTCATTAAAACATACAAAATCAGATTGATGAGTGTGTACCTTTTTCTCTGCTTCAAGCATTTTTGAAGTACAATCATCTGGTTTTCCCTTCTGTTCAAGTGAAATTATATTATTATTATTATTGTTAAATTGCCCAAAATTAAATTAATTTGCACACCTGCACAGTCTGTAGCTGGTCCTGAATGGCAGCCAGGTCTTGTTTACTGGACTCTAGTCGGGACTTGAGCCTTTGATTTGTTGCCAGTGCCTTTTCATACATCTGTAAAATTCACATTCATTTTTATAGCGCAGGAAATGTAAACAAATAAAACAAAATGGAGCAAGGTTAAATAAATGCATACGATGACAAGATTATATAAACAACAATTAAATACATATAGATCAATGATATAACTGAAATAACAAAACAACAAAATTAAATGTGGAGTCTGTGGTAGCTTGATTTCTCCATGTGTAAATAATATATTTAATTGTATATATATATATATATATATATATATATATTTTTTTTTTCCCTTCTCACCCACCGCGGGTGGTTCTTATCCTCTGAGCTCGGGTCCTCTACCAGAGGCCTGGGAGCTTGAGGGTTCTGCGCAGTATCTTGGCTGTGCCAAGGACTGCACATTTCTGGACTGAGATGTCTGATGTTGTTCCTGGGATCTGTTGTAGCCACTGCTCCAGTTTGGGGTTACTGCCCGAGGGCCCCGATGACCACAGGCACCACTGTGGTCTTCACCTTCCAGGCCCTCTCCAGTTCTTCCCTGAGGCCCTGGTATTTCTCCAGTTTCTCGTGCTCCTTTTTCCTGATGTTGCAATCACTTGGTATTGCTACATCTACCACAACGGTTTTCCTCTGTTTTTATCCACTACGACAATGTCTGGTTGGTTCGCCATTACCATTTTGTCTGTCTGGATCTGGAAGTCCCACAGGATCTTAGCTCTGGCGTTCTCCACCACCTTTGGGGGTGTTTCCCACTTTGATCTCGGGGTTTCCAGTCCATATTCTGCACAGATGTTTCTGTACACTATTCCTGCCACTTGGTTATGTCGTTCCATGTACGCTTTCCCTGCCAGTATCTTGCACCCTGCTGTGATGTGCTGGACTGTCTCAAGGGCCTCCTTGCACAACCTACACCGGTTGAATATATATATATATATATATATATATATATATATATATATATATATATATATATATATATATATATATATATTTAATGATTAAATATAATCATATTTGATGATTAAATATATTTAATGATTATGCAATGCATTGAAATTGTACTTCAACACAATTATGTACTGTACTTCAATACATTTTTGTAGTGAAGTACAACTGTGTGTTCAGTTTAGATTGACTTATTTAAAAGTATGTAACATGCATTAGTTTGTAATTTCTCCTTTCAACATTAACCTGTAGAGAAATAATATTTGCACTGTGTGTTTGGGTAAACCTGGATGAAAGCCAGTTTCGTTTTGTTGAGTAGGCACCCTATATAACACACTAAATCTCACCTACAGGGAAGAATTTTGGGAACAATGAAGTGGTGGTATCTATGATATGAGGTTTTGAGCTGGCAAAGGTCAAATCTTTACATAAGCTTAATATATCATGTAATTATATACTTTATAATATAGATTACCTGTGTTAACACAAGAGAATTGATACAGATTTTACTTTTTTCACCGTTACTGTAGAACAACAACTCCAAGTGAAAAGCTCAACAATCAAATCACAGCATTTGCCTTTTTATAGTCACTGTTCATCTTCTCTTCTTCTGCCTTCTTCTTTGCAGACAGTCTGTTCTCCCTTCGTAGAAAGTAGGACTCTGCATGATTTGTTGATGTGTCATTGTAGACGTCAGATGAGCTAGATGAGCCCAATCTAAAGACATAACTTCTCATTATGAGTTACCCTCAAACTTTAGCAAGCATTGAAACATAGACTTTATTTGTGCTTCAGTATCCAAAGTCATGGAAAACTTACCTAGGCAGCCTTTCATTCTAGAAGAGAGAAAGTAGGTTTTAGAATATATTTAGCTTTTATTTAAACAAAATACATGCATTCTTGTTGTAGTGAGGGTCAACCTCGCCTCACCCTTTTTAACCAAAGTAACGTTTTTAATTTTATCAATAAATTAACATGTACTTCATTTCTGCTTACATTTTAACTTTTGGCAATGTCATTTTACCTATAATGTGAGCCATTTTAATGTGTTCCATGAAACAGTTTATGGCAGTCAGACATACCAAAGCAAGTTAAAGGAGGAGAGAGGAAATGATCCCTTAAATAAGCTCACAAGCAGAGATAGCTAAACATATCCAAAAAAGGTAATAACTCTGGCAGGGACACTCACATTTTGTTCACTTTTGCCTGCTTAGTAAGGGAAGGTTGTGTGGTCTATGTCTTCAGAAAATTTCAAGCAAAAACTTTTGTCAGAGAAGGACAACATTTAAATTGGTTAACATGCCAATAATTAAAGAGATAGTGGGCTTCATACAAACATTCTAAAGAAGAAAAGAAGAAGAAAAACAAAAGGGGAAAAGGGTGCTGGTTTTATTGTAATCCAGAGACATAAATGCATGGAACATATAAAAAAAATGTAGTGCACACAATATTTATTACATAAATCCAATGGGTTATATATAAAAAACAAAACTAATAAATGTGTCAGTAAACTTTAACAACTATCTCCAGCTAACCCAAGTGAGTAATCTCCTTCTCATTTCTCATGTGGTGATGTTCAAGTCTAACACATTTTTTTCTTGTAAGGGTGAGCTTCGATAGAAGACTGGCAATGTTTTTTTTAACCATTTACCTGATCATTTTTGTTGTATGTTCAGTAATTTTCATTGTTTGTACATTATTGTCAGTCTAGTGAATAACAGCTACCGTAAGTCATAAGTGCTCCACTGTCACTGGTTAAGATAACTTTTTGCTCAATTGCACAGCTTAAAGTAATAATTGCACGACCTTCAGCATCAGAATTCACTGTTAGGTTGATGACATAAGGATTCAACTATTGTAGATGTGTTACTTACAAGCATAAAAAAATCTTAATCCTTGAATGCCTTGTCATGTTAGTTATTGTATCAGAAACATAATCTGATATATTTTACTTGGGTTTTTACAGACACATACAGATGTCATTTTGAATTACACAATCTAACATTTAAGTTGTTCTCATGTGAACACGTAATATCAAAAAAGATAATGTCTGATACTTTAATTATGCACTCTTCTATTTTAAAGCCCACCAAATATCTCAACATAAAAGTAGACCATAGATTCGTGCTCAAAGAGATTTATGTCAAACACAATTAACTGCAAGTCTAAAATAGAAAAAGAGCCAAGACTTTGTCTTACAGACACTTTGTGTAAACACTGCAATACCTTTGTTCAGACATTTAAAAAAACCTCTGGATCTTCACCAGACCCTGAAATCAACCCCTCAAAGGATGTCTCACAACATGTGACTTAACTTGGTAAAAAGTTATTAATCATAGACTCAAGCACATTGGTTTAAACAATGTGGCATCATGTAAACAGATACTATCAAATTTGTCCAAATAATTATTCAATTATTCATGCTTAAAAGTGTTTTTCCTGTCTCTGAGTCTTCCTCCAGTCCTCCCAAATCCCTTAAGAGACTTTTTTATTCCTGCTGACAAGTGGAAAATATTAGCTTCCCTTAGGATTAGCTGAGACATAAACATCTATAAATACTTTGAGTTCCCACCATCACAGTCTTCTAAACCAAACTGTTGTTCTTTTTCTTATGATTGTGGTCTTTGAACAAGTCATATTTTTTTACACTTTTCTTTACAGTCTTCATTTCTCCTTTCTAGCTTTTCCTCACATGCTGGTATTTTCTGCATCCTTACCTCATGCCATAAGTAAGTTTTAAACAAATATAAAATATATATAAGCTTAGTCATACCAAAGCTTTCTACCAAAATTTTCTTAAGGGTATCAATATAAAGAATTATAAAACATTGTAGGTCAATCATTGTGATGTTTATAGTTTGTAAAAAAATATATAAATAAAGACCATACTTTGAAGTTTGTTTTTGACATTTAAAGGTTTTATAGACATGTTAAATGTATTTGTCAGTTCCATCTCTATACAATCAAAAACATGGTGCCGGTCTTACATAATACACCATGATCTAATGCAGAAACAGAAATGTTTGATTCTCATAGGAAAATATACATATTTCACTTTTTGTCTTCAATTGCAAAACACCATATGAAATACAGGATTAATATATTACACTTAAACAGAATGAGCCTATAGCTCACGATTTGGAACTTATATATTTTTTATGATAACATCAATGGAATTATCTTATTTGAAGCAAAAAAATGCTATTACAGTCATCTCTATTTACGCTCAAATATAACATTTTAATAATTATTTTCCAAAATACATGGCTCAATTTTTACTTTTAAAGTAGTATAAATATTATTGCATTCAAATTTGCTCAGGAACTATCATAACATTTCACTAAGGTATCTCTCTTGGCATGAAATCTATTTAGGCATATTCTCTAACAACACAAGATAAGAAAAATCAGGCCTTACCCTCAGGCTTCTGGTGTTGGCAGCAGAGGAAACTGGACAAGAGTCAGACAGCAATTTTCTGATGAACGGCTCTTCTTTGTTTTGAGAAAGTAGAGATGACATTGTTCTGCTGGGACCACTGCATACAGTTGTACTCTGATACAAAATACCAAAGCAAAGAAAAAAATATTTATATTACAAGTTATGAAAAGCACACTGCCCGAGATGGGGTTCAGGTGAAATTGTCTCAGTTTGAAGAACGCCAGTGTGATCTTCATGAGATGGAAACACATATTAGATGTGAGTGAAAGAACACAAGTTTGAGAATGTGGGTGAGTGGGAGGAGTAGGCGGGCTGTGGACTGTAGGGTGTGTTTATGTGTGTACGCAAGGATTTAGATTAAGTTGTTTGTAACATTTCTGATGTGAAGTCACATTTTACTAAAGCAAGTGATTCAAAAGTTTACTATGTTTATGAATAATAATAATAATAATAATAAAAGACTGTTGAGTGTTCAACAGCTTGAGAGGAATGTATAAAGCAGTTAAGGTCACATCATGAATATGGTAGTATATCAAATATTTAAAACAAAAAAAAATAAACAATGTCAACAGATCTAAAACACTTGAAATGTGATGTTTTTCAGCCACCTTGTTCAGCCCATCTGGCATGTCTTTGTAGATCTGCAGTATCCTAGTTTGAACTGCAGAGTCTTCGTTTGATTTCCAGATTATGGATTGAGTAGTGCTCTGTGAGATGTTAAATGCTTGTTCAGATATTGTTTTATTAAGAAAATGTAAATTAAAAATCCGTAGAACCATTTTCAGATATTTATCCGTAAGCCATGTCTCACATGGGCTACCCTCTATCTTACTGCTACAGTTAAGTATACTACCATTATTCTCAGTTTTTTTAACCTAACATCTATATAATGCATTATACTTTGGAATTATAATGTGAAAAAGTGCCTCTCTGTCTTTCCCTTCTGAAATTCTCAAGTTGTCTTTCATATTTCTGTTGTGTTCTTCATTTTTACAGCTCAGCAAGCAAGCACCATCTGCTGGTTTAAAAATTACTTACAACAAAAATAAAAAAAGCAGTTTAAAAGTATGCCTACAAGTTTTGTGGGATGAACAAAACTTCCTCTCCCTGCCCCGCGACACACACACACACACACACACACACACACACACACACACACACACACACACACACACACACACACACACACACACACACACACACACACACACACACCAACTTGAAGTAAAAATTGTTGCAACACATTATCAGATGGCAGGAGCAAATTACTCCCGTGATCAGAAGCTACATGTCTTGAAAACCTTCTATTTGACATGCACATAGAATTTTAGAAAAAAAATTGACATTTCCTATTAAAGTAGCAATTACAAAATTAAATACTGAGATTTGACTTTCTTTACACATAATGTATTAAAGAATTTCAGTTTGCATTGTTCAAAACTTAGATGGCGAGTTCTGTTCATGAACTTGAGCAGAACTCTATTTAATAAACTGCTTAAAATCTACAATTTTCAATGGGTTTTGCGGTAGTTTTTGTTCAGTGGCTGGACAGGGAGAAAAACAGAGAGGAGGGAAAGACATGCCGTTAATGGGCCGGGAAACGAACCTCTGTGTTGAGGACTGATCTGCTCTGCCACTTGGCCACATGACGACCCTAAATGTGTAGAACTTTTATCTAACAAAAATATGTTGCCTATAGCTTTCATTCGACATTCTTCGTTGGAATAAACGTGGCCAGAAGAGGAACACGACATTAATCTGCTCACCTTTAATCACCGCCACCTGCTGGAAGTTTGTAAGCTAACGCTCTTTACTGCAATCAGGAAGTCGATGTTTTATAAACAAGACTAACTTGTTTTAAAACAGATGTATAAAATACTTTTGCTGATGCTGGAAAATTTACGAGAACCTAAGCAACACTTGTGTTTCTGAAAAGTTAGATACCTTTTCTTGAATTAACGTCTTGGACTTGGCTGGTGGAAGTAATGACAGGAGCAGAGCAGCGGGGCTTCCTTTAGCAACCGTCGGTGGCAAAAAGGTAGGTTTCCCTTGTGTTTGTCCTTCTTCTCTTGCCATTAAGACCATTGGAATGCCCAGCAGCACACATGGAAAAAGTGAAGTGCACTAAATACACATTAATTAAGCGACCAACATATTTTTTTTGTAAATAACATGCGTGCATTCTTGTTTAGGTAGGCTATATAGTGTACATCGTACTAACATGTAGCCTATTTGTTTTTAGCATGCAGCCTACTTTTCTTAACCTACTTGTGCAATATACTTCACCAGGTATGACGTCTTTGAATTCATATTTTCTGAATTTATGAATTTTAAGCTTGTCCTTTCATGGTCTTGTAACTGTCAAAGTTAGCTGAAAGCCAAATAATGGCAATCTTAAACATTTATTTACTCAAATTATTATTTTACCATATTTTTGCCAACATCCACCTAATTAAAAACATAATTTCCCTTAAGAGCTTTTTATTATTAGAGTAACATTAGTTATGTGTTAATATTCTTTTACTTTGCAGAGATCAAGCAAAACATATTATCAGTATAGTCTAAGATTATTAAGTTTGTACTCAAGATAATTACCATTTCACTAAGTAAGGACTTATTTGGGTATGATTTTAGAGATTAAAGCAGGTACACAATATGGCCAAAAAAGTCATCATCTGGATTTAATTTAGCCAACAGATAAGAGCCTTCTATTCCGAAATTACCATATGGTCAGATCTTTCACTCGACAACAAGTTCCAGCCACCCATCCATTTTCTTACACCCTTATCCCATTGAGGTTGAGAGGGGTGCTGATGCCCATGTCCAGCGGTCAACGGGCAAGAGGCGAGGTACAACCTAGACAGGTCGCATATTGGCTTATTTAACCCCAATGATCCTCTGAGTAGTGTCATTGAAGTAAGGGCATTTTCACAAACATTTTGTGAAAGAAGCTCGCATGATTCATTTTTTAGCAATGAAAAACATAAATTAGTGAGGCTAAATTGAGAAAAAAATCCTTCAGGTTGCAAGAAAGAATATAGATTGAACTCTGGAGCAATGGAAGGTATTTAGAATATTACAGATTTTCCCTGTTTCAGAGTGATTGGCATGTCAGGGTAAGAAACGATACACTCTTTATTCTTAGTGCCTAGTTGGTCAGGTCCACATTAAGCAACATTCCCTGATGGAGGATATTTCAAGATGACAATGCCAGGGTTCATTGTGCTCGAACTGGAAGAGTGGTTCAGGGAGTGTGAAACATAATCTTCACACATGGATTGGCTGCCACAGCGATGTTCAACCCCACTGAGAATTGTTGGGATATGCTGGCGAAGGCTTTGTGCAGTATTCAAACTCCGCCATCATCGATATGATCTTGGTGAAAAATAAATGCCACACTGGATGGAAACGAACCTTGTGACATTGGAGAATCTTATGGAAACAATGCCACGGTGACTGTGTGCTGTAATCAAAGCTAAAGGTGATGCATCTAAATATTAGTGTGACCTTTTTTTTGGGGTGGCAACTTTTTCTGTGTCGTTAGTATCCAGTGCGCACACAGGATTCTAACAACACAGAAAACAGATGTACAAATGATCTTCAACTACCCATTATGTGAAATTTATATTATAATGTTTTCCCCATTTATTATGATTTCTATGTAGGTGCTTCACAATGACTGTTTTTTGAAACTGAATTTAACATAATGAGCTCTGGTTGAGGGAATATATTAGAATAGTAAAGGTCCATTTTATATGGAGACATGATTTATTTCTAAACTGTAAGGTCTTTAATAGTACCTTAACAAATTATTTAAAGCTGAGTCACAATTGCTTAATCATATATCACACTTAAGAGTTGCCAGATATGCTTACAAGTCCAAAAACTTTCCTAAAACAATTTTTGTGTGAATGTATTGTAGAGTAGCATATATTGATGTAACTATATTATACGCTGCTGATATTATTAATGCTGATGGGTCACTTTCAGTAACATCTAAACAACTTTTGCATGACTGAACCCTTAAAACATATTTCATTTTGTATATGCATGAAGAGGCCGGTTGCAAATATACCATGGTAACATTAATGTGTTTGACAAAACAAGGAACAAACGCAACTTTTTTATTACAAGTTTCAAATTTTTGACAAACAAAAAGATTCATATGCGTTTGGTGGATCACTTTATTGAAAAGGGTGCCAGTTTAAAATCCATACAAGGTTTTGAAACTTGTATTGATTTGAAATGCAGTGAAGAATCTCATGGTTCTGGCTGATTCTTGACATTACTAATCCACTTTATTCTGTAAAGAAACACATTTTTATCTTCATTATGCTTCATTTGCAGCACACACTCAAATGTTTCAACCTGACATCTTGGTGGATTTCTCCATTTCATGAATCTTAAACAATTTTTGATAGCTTACCTCTAACATTTAGTATCATTGAGGACTCTGCGTTCCCGAGTTTGTTCTCAATGATAATTTTGTATTCCCCATTGTCTTTGGGTCCCACTCGAAGTATTAGCAATGAGCAGACTCCACATACATTTGTTATGTGGTAGTTTGTGTTTGTGTTGAGGCTGATGTTGTTGTGGTACCAAGTTACATGTGGCGCTGGGTCACCTTTTACTGCACAGCTCATGTAGCATTCATATCCTTCAGGAGCTGTGCGTCTCTTTAAGGGGATAATAAATGATGGAGGTGACTCAAAATACAGGGGTTTCATCTGAGGCGTGTCAACTTTGAACTTTCCTGAAAGATAAATTCATTAATGTTACTGCAAGAAAACATAATATATTGGTAACACCAAAGTAAAAATCAGGACCCCACATGTTTTTCTCACTGCTGTTTATAACTAGAACTGTATGGTGAATGTTTAGATGATTTCAGTAGGTGCTGCATTGGCTTAAGTTATTTCCTATATGCCTACATAAATATTCGTCATCACTGCTGTAACCATAATCTGTTTCATATTAGGGCATATATGATGAATCCTTTCTGTTACATTCTTTGTTTGCACCACATTTAGTGAACCAGTTGTAAAAATCATGCTTTGCTTCAAAAGCAAATATATTTTATAAATTAAATGTAATCAACACGCCTTACTAAAAGATAACTTCCATTACTAGAATTGCAAAATATATGTGTTTCTTTTCGTGAATGTATTTTTTGTTGTCCCTTTTAAATTGTCTCAAAATTCACACAAACCTTTTTCCTTTTTTAAAGCAAACACAGGGGACTCAGATGGTGGTGACAGGCCCATGTCGTTTTTCGCAAACACTCTGAAGTAGTACTCCCGCCCAGGCATAATGTTGACAACTGTGAACTTGTTGTTAAAAAGGTTGTCAGCTGCTGTCCTCCAAGTGCGCTTGAAGGAGTCCCTCTTGGACACCATGTAGTGTAGTCTGTCATCTCTTTTCTCATCTGGAGATGGACCCCAACATAGAGTCACTGTTCCTGGTATGTTCTCATCCAGCTCTACAGGGCCTGGAGGCTTGGGGTCATCTAAAAGAAAATTAGGACACAGATATATATATTGGCTGATGAATCCCCCTTTAAATTTTTTATTTTTTTCTTCAAAGCTGAATTGGTTACCAATGTGAAAGGTTTTTGAAAAGTTTATTCCCTGATCATTTTTTTCTTGTCATAAATGTCCTGCGGTTTAAAGTTTGGTTAATAAGATGCCAAAAAAAAAAAATGCTGCAGTGACTGATTTTATATATATTTTTCCCTTGAATGTATAGAGTATGTGTTAAGCTCACACAGTTTTAAAAATTACAGTTAGCAAGTTAAATATGGCTTGTCTGTAACCCGATGGCTAAACTAGTACATAGCTTTCATCAGGCTTGTGCTGATATCTAAAAAGCATAGTAAATAAACAGTGTAATATTTGGCACAAAAAGTAGAAAATCTACCACTAAATTTTGTGGATGGTTTACCAAAGTCTATAGATCAAAATGAAAAAGACAATGAAACATAGTCTAAATGTAATAATGCATATAATATTACCTTAGCATCAGAAGGAATAATTGTTCCTCTACTGTTTTAAATTAAAGCAATCACATCATGTTATGATGGCCTGAAATTATTGAGCTTATGACTGAATGACAGTCATATGGGCAGGTATGATGCATCTGAAACTAATGCTTACTATATTCCTTTAGTTATGTAATTTGAATTGTTAATAATTCTAAAACTACATAAGAGTTCTCTAAAATCCTACTTGTAACTACACACAACTGATTTGACAACACAAACTCCAAACTTTACGTTCTAATGTGTGGACAAAATTGTTAGAAGTGTCTTGTGGTTTCTGCAGTTCTTGGCAGCTGGATGGGATCTTTTTTATGCATTTAATTGGCTTTAAAGACTTGATCTGCATTTTTATTCCTATGTAGGACCAATATTTTTTTAACAGATCCATATATTGATAAGACATTTTAAATCAATGTTTTTTCACTTCAGCAGAGAGCATTTAATCTTACGATTTATTTCTTTGAAGTGTTTGCTCTGTTCATTGAGATATACAGCCAAATCTGAATGCTGGACCTTTACCTGTAACTCTGATTTCTACACTGAAGCTTTCCTGACCAACAATGTTCTTGACAGTGATCGTGTAGATACCACTATCTGATCTCTCAGATGTGGGAATTAACAACTGAGATCCTCTATCTGAATTGGTTATAGTAACATGTTTGAGCAAAGGAATTCCATCCTTAACCCAAGAAATGTCAGGCATCGGAGAAGCCTGTAGATGATACAAACAAAATAATTACCAAAAATATTGTATGTGGCACATTTTCACACAAGCATGGTCGAAAGTTTTATACCTCAAAGTTGATGTTGACTCGAATAGTGTTTCCAGATTTCACCACCATCAAGGTCTTCATGTTGCGGTCCTTGAACCTTGGTCTCACTGTATGTTAAATTTAAAAATGTAAGTTTAATTAACATTTTTATTTTAACAATATTGCTACATTATTTATTTTGTACTGTTGGGGCAGTATGGTAGGGAAAAATAGTGTGTGCAAAACGCATTCATAATTTTCATTGGCCTAATGTGCTTCCTGGTGAATCATCCTGAATTCAGAAAAAACTGAAGCCTCAGCGCAAAGCTTCTCTCTGTGTAGCATAGAATTGTTTTTTGCTAGAAATCAACCTTAAAAAATTACTTTAATAGTTGTAAAATGCTATGTTGGTTTTAATTAAGTCTTT